CAGATAAGATGAAAGCTGAACTGTCACTGGCCATTATGTTCAATGTCTTCCATCGTGATCTAGTATGCCATAAACTCAGCAAAGTCGATATATGTCTTTCAACCCTCATAGCACTTCATATTGTACTCGTGAGCGATCGAACTGTGCAAGAGAGCAAGTTGTCATGCTTAGATTTGCACTTCCATTGTACAAGATTTTGTCAATTGAATCTGAGAGTGGCAGGTGTCACGTGTCCATGAGGACACTGGCTAAGGCTCATGATCTCATGGGCAGTGATCTGAAGTTGAATGCATCCCACACTTTGTGCCAAGAGTCGAGGAAGTGTCGGGTGTCAAAACCTGAGAATCAAGCTCGACATCCTCCGGAGGATTCTAGGGGCACCGTTCAGGCCGACCTCCAGAAAATGAAGACAAATTATTCCTAACGATTGTGAAAACCATAACCGGAAAAGCATGGAAACGTCCAGACCGCGAACCCACCATAGATTAAAAAATAATGAAAAATCAACCACGGCAAGGAAAGAGTTGATGATGTCGTCAGTCGACGGACACAACTCAAAAGGCGATGGTGGGACGATGGTGGGACCGCAGATTTGACCAGAGATACCGGATGCACCAACATAACATGAACATTACATTCCGCATCCCCAGAAGATTATATTTCGTAGTTTGGGGAATATTGGCCCCCATAGATTCAGTCGTCTACGTGTCCAGATGAACCGGCGGAAGGAAGTTTGTCCATGTCTACCAGTGAACTAGTCGATGTCGAGGAGGCGCATGGGTTCACTGCAGCAAAATTCCGTGGTCCAAAATAGATCGTTGCACGTTCATCGTTTCGTGCCCTCGTTGCTGTCCAGGGCTTGAGCTCGTCCCGGCGAGCTGATCAGCAATAGGCGCATGGATTCAGTGGGCCAATCGCCGCGCTCCACAATGGACTGTTGCACGATGTGGGCTTCGTGCCCTCGTTCCGGGCTCGGGCGCGAGTTGTTTATTACCGCCCCAAATAGAGCAGGACGATCTCGTCTATGCGAAATGTCGCTCGCCACGAGGCCGGATTAGGGTCATCCCTCCAATACACCGTCGCCGAGTTTCAAGATTATCTTGGATTCGTTAATTTACGAAGGTCAGTGAATGAGCCCCGTCATGGCCGCCGAGCGAGCGAGCCATCGTCAGTTGGTGTGGACATAATCGACCAACAACTGCAGTGACCTGCGGGTACATGGAAAAGCCTGTAGCTGCAGGCATATGTATGTTCCAGGGAGGAATCCACCTTCCCAAGGCCCCCATGAGTAACAATTCAACGCAGACATATTCCCACGCTGACTGCTTTTCGTCTCCGGCCGAGTCTTTCAGCCCGAATTTTTCACCCGGCCGTGCTCGCGCCCTCTCTCACTATTCCGCGATCTTGCTGCGTCCGTTCTCCGGGTCGATGGGCGCAAGATGAGGAATCCATCGACATGAAATGGCCGTGCATTGCATGAGGAAGAGGAGGAGGATTAGATTAGATAGCCTCAACCGCGAACGACCCAAGAGAGCGGACATTCACCTGGTGCAATTCCACGTAATGCTAGAAAGATTTAGGGTTCATACGGAAAATCCGTCCGGGCTAATGTACCTTACATGCTACGTTGTCATCAAGTACGAGCAAGTACGAAACGCACCGCTTCATGATGAGAACTTGATCTTTACAGTGAAAATAATGGACCAGTGCCGAGAGTCCCGATCCCCGTGGTTGGTTGTCGGTGAAGGGAAAACACTCGCCCTCCCACGGCGACTTGGCAAGCGAGTATTCGAGTCTGAGGCTTGTCAGTTGCTGCAATACCGGTAGTCTGGAGGGGTCGGGTCGGGTCGGGGGCGACGAAATGTCCTACACAAAGGCATAAAAAATCCACCCCTTGGCGTTCTCGCTCCAGTCGCCTGGTTGGTAGCGGTTGGGGTAGCGCAGATATTTTGGTTCAGATCTGAATCGCGGGCTATTGGGTTTCAGAAACGAGGCCATTGAATGACCGGCGACGGGGTTCCACATGTATATTGAAATGATACGACGGACGACACGAATCGGGCGATCAGATTAACCTGCAAGGCAACAACTGATCGTGCTAATCTCTCGAGCATTGAATGGCCAGGTGCATTGAATGGGAGAAGCTAGAGAGCCCCCGACTGCGTAGCCGGGGGCAGTCACGGGGGAGCGTCGGTTACGTGGTTGCAGATAGCGCGGTTCGGGGTGATGGCGCCAGCCGACCAGCCGGACATGGAGGCCGTCGAATTGGAATCTTTTCGTGGTCAGCCCTCCAGGAATCTGGAGATCTGCCTGCAGCGAAAAGGTTGGAGCAGCAGCAGCAAGTCCACTCTGGCGAATGCGAAATGGTCGACGAGGGAGCGCCGGGCTCAATTTAGAAGCTTTTCGAAAAGTGCCTGCTGGTTTGCTTGGTGAGCCCGGGTCCCGCTTGCAGGGGGCGGATCAGTTGCTATAACAGCGCAAAAGAGCTATTTAATCGTCCTAATAAAGCCGCCCGGGTTTCTGCGGGTCAACTTGCCCCACAAATTTTAGGTGCACAGAGAGAGAACGAACGAACGAACGAACTCTGCTCTTCTTCCTCGCTTTTGCTCTCTTGCTCTGGAGCTTGGCTTCTGTTCAGTGATATTTTTGTGCGACTCGGAGTCTCGAAATTGTTGCATTCAATGCACACGCCTGTGCGAAACCAAACGGGCTTGCGGCCCGTGAAATTTGGCTCTCCCTTTAAGGTCCATGAGCTCAATGTAAGCAGACTCGTCGAGCCCAATTAACGGTCCAAAAAAGTACACATGCGAGAAAAGGGACAACGGCCGAACCATCGTCAGGCAGACAAAGCGCAGTCCCGCCAAAGTGGAAAGCGTAAGAATAAAACTGGAGTTACTAATGTTGCTAGCCATGAGAGTCTCCTCCTCGAACCTTCCCGGTTCCAAGTCCGGGGAGAAGCCGACAGGACGAGTAAACGTGCCGTATAATATAATATAATATAATAGATACTATATATATAATTCTAAGAAGTATAGTGATAATTATTAGGGACTACATTAGGCAGCTCAAAGAGGAAAAAGGGCTGGCTCAGTCGAATGGGCGGGGGAAGGGTTTCAGCTTGCAAAGATCGAGAAACTGGCGTCCAGGCAGAAGGTAAGAGAGAAGTCCGGCGAGAATCCGACAGGACGAGTAAATGTGCCGTATAATATAATATATGTAATAACATGTATATAAGTAAAGGAAGTATGATGATTATTAATAGGAAGTATATTTGGCAGCTCAAAGAGGAAAAAGGGCTGGCTCACTCGCATGGGGGAAAAGGGGTTCAGCTTGCAAAGATCGAGAAACTGGCGTCCAGGCAAATCTCCGGTCGAGGCAGAAGGAAAGGGAGAAGGGCACTAGTCGACTCACGAGGAACCTGAGGGGCGAAACTCCGGGTCTGGGCGTGAACTGGTCGCTGGACTCGATGTGGAGTGAGTCGTCAGGCGTCATCAGCATGTGACCCGCGGGCACGCTGTCATCATTCGTATCAAGCTTTTGGGCTCTCTCTCGCGCTCGCCCGAAGGGAGCTTTTGCGAGGGCGAAGCGTAGAGCTCCACTTGGACGAGCTCCCTGGCCAGGGCTCCACTTGCCCACCCTCGAAAACTACAAATGTACTGCGGAAAGCTGCCGACGAGGTGGATCGGGTTCGAACCCAACCGGCCCCGGTGACTGGACCGCCCGCCCGGCCTCGGTTGGCTCCACGTCCTTCTTATCTTCAAGGCCTTAACACGTTTCGTCTAATCCACGGTCACATTACCGATTCGACCTTTACCCCCCGCGAACTTACCGCTTCTCCCGTTTCTCTCCGCCTTTTCTTCACGGCCCCGGGGTGAGTTACCGGTTCGCTCGGTCGACCTCTCTGGCCGTCGTCTTCCGGCCCTCGCTTTCCTCGCAGGCGCTTGCTCTGCTGACAGCGCGAGCCCTCTAACGTCTCCCTCGTCCGTCGAGAGGCATGAGTGAGTGCCTCGAACGCTCTCTCTCCTCTGCCCCTTTAATAATTGCATCGCTCGGACGAACAAAGCGTTCTGATTTTACTTTGCGGTCGAACCAGCTCCCTCGGACGTGCATTCGGATCGGACTGAACGATCGATCTCTCGCAATCTCGCGAGCACATGGCCGCGACGGACGAATGCCTCGATTATGGGTGCGCTGTGCGGTTGCATCTCCTTCTTCTGAACACTGGCTGGTTGCGATTTATTTGATCGAGACTGAAGTGAGTGAGTGAGGTTTCGTAGATTGCCATGCGGTGGGTCCCGTTTGGCTTCGTGTTTGAAGAGCCCGGGGAAGTGAGCATGCCGGAGGTGCTCGGCAGGACATCTCACCCTCCCAGCAGTTGGTGTTTTTGCCGTCTCGATGGTATCTTCGAGCACGTGAGGACTCTGTAGCTGTACCTTTCTTGACAGTGATGGACCACATCCGCCTCTGAGAAGCTAACCATGGCCACAAGGGCGGGCAGGCAGGCAAGAAGGAAGGAAGGAAGCAACTCGTAGAAGCCTGGATGACTGTCCACTGTCCACACACGGCGGGGTTTAGGGTTCTCTCGTAAGGTGCACGGGTCGGATTTTGTTGGCGAGAAGTTCTTCGTTGCTGGCGGTGCACCGATGTGCTCCGCACTTACAATGGCGTAGGCATTCAAAATTCTCAGGCCCATGATGTGAGATTAAGTTGTTTTCATACAACGACGGAGGGTAGGTTCGATCGACCTTTCAGATCCCAGATGTCCCAGTGGGTCCACCATCCATCCCACAAAGCTCTTCAGTTCAGACTCATGCTCCATACCAGACGTGAAGTGAGTAGATAGATGTCTCAGTCATTTGCAGGACTCATGCATGTCGTCGCCGCTAGGAACCGCAGACGATCCGTATCAATGCACGCACCATCCATGGCGGGATCGAGACATAGGTCTCTCACTCACAGAGACTTTACGGGAGGTTCTCCATACCTTGTGTCAGAATTTGTCTGCACCAGCATCAAACCTACCAAAAACTGTCCTTGCGACTCGAACATGCAAATAAAACAAGTCACGATCTCCGATGCAGAGAAGAGGAAGTAAACAATGAGCTCACGGCCATCAGGACACAGCTACTACTCCTACTCCTCCTACTACATTCAAAACCCTGCCAAACGCAGGCTTGGGTCCACGTGACCAACGCCTACATCAGTTTCGCTAGAGCAATTCTACGGAGAAGCTTGTTGACTCTCCAACAACCACCTCACGCATCGTGATCTCGACATTCTCATATTCCTGCAATTCAGGACTAGGAATCAAAAGACATTAAGAACGAAGAAAGCCTAGACTCGACACAAGCAGCTTCTATTACATCTCGCCACCCTGGAAGCTAACTGAAGCGCCTGTGGTTGAGACATTGAGAATGTCTGCACTGGACACCACGACGCTTACACTCCGAGATGCAAATTCAGAAGTCCTGAGCCCGTCCGCAATCACAACATTTTATTCGCGTAGACCCAAACGCACGGTCAATGCTACTGAAGCAAACAAAGCTTTCACAGTCGTGGAACAGACAATAGAATTCAAAGGTTGCCCGAAAGCTCGTCCGAGAACGGGAAGACCAGGTGTCCTTCCTGGGTTAATAAGTCAGTAACGCATTCCGGGATGTTTGTATTCGGCGGAGGAGATGAGAGTTGGGATCCGGGACTGACGGAAGGGAAACAAGAGGAGAGGCTACAGCAGCTGGTGAGGTGAGGTGAGGTGAGGTGAGTACGCATGGTACTCGTCCCATGTGAAACAGGCTTTGCGTTTCTCAGTGACAATGGCGTACACCTGACAAATGCTTTCAATTGGGGAGGTGGGGTAGGAGAACTTGATCTCTGCTTTCGGCTGAAACTCTTGTTGTCCGGACAAGCCATCATGGGCGGTTGGCAGTCTCTCTTGTGATGTTTAGAAGGAATCTGCGTGTCCTGGTATGCGTCAAACAATCACCTTCAGTCATTGGACATTTCGAATGTTGGGCTTGTGGGACGAGAGCCAAACTCCTTCTGGTATGATGTTCGCGATCAGGCGGGAACGGTGGAAGTTGAAGTGGCCTTGAGCGTTTGTAGAGTCCAGACAAGGACAGTCCATTTTCGCTGTAAGGCAATCGCAAGGAGGCGAGCATCGGGATTCACTGCATGAGGTCTCCCAACCTGTCATTGACAAAGCACCACCGAGCTCAGAAACTACGACACATTTGAAGACGATGTACTGGCATCAACAACTTCGTCAGATCCTGGTGTTTGGAACGAGGACAACTATCACGCGTCACGAAATTAGACCACTGGTATGCGAGGAGCGACTGATTGAGGAGTCTCTGCATTGTCGACATTACCATTTCCAGCATCGAAATGTCAGCGATGCTATCTCCGAAGGCCATGCTGTCTTCCAAAGACACGTCAAATCGTTTGGCATAATCGAGTACGCGCTCGGCTTTTTCACTGTTGCTGGTTGCCATTCCGTTCAGCTCTCCGGTGAATCTGAATCGCAAGTGACCAACCAGTGTGAGGACGAGGGAAGAATGAGGATGGGACGGAAACAACAGTTCTAACCTAAGCAGGACTCTGGTGCCGGTTCAGACTTAGATACCTTCTACTGAGTATTTGCTGTAAGATGGAACAGGGTTTGCTGCACACGAGTTCATCAGATGATCTTGATTGAACCGGATGACTTTTTAGCCTCTTAACAATGAAACAAATCTGGAATCTGGAGATTAGTGCCTGGAAATATATTCTTCTCGTCACTTCGATGGATAGATAGATACATACAAAAGGATTTATGTTTCATATTCATTTATGTATTAATATTTACAAAAGGAAGGACAAGCTCGAATGCTAGATTTCAGGTCTGATAATATCTGTACTGGCTGCTCAGCCTGCATGCTCCCTCGTAATGGACGAGAGAGCACGCGTAACAGCAGGAGATGACAGCGATACTGACTTCCCAGGATAAGAGCGGATTAACATCCGAATTGCCAGAGACAGTAATGGTGCTACGAAATTCAAAGGTACGCAGTTCAGACAAAGATTCGAACCTGCCATTTTCTTCGACCAACTCGGCAGCATATACAAAATCTGTCATTCCATAGAGCATCAATGGGCATCAAACTTTTAGATCTGGACGCTACAGGCGATCTGATCTTCGTGTCTAGGATATGGATAGATGATTGCGACAAGAGAGTCCATAATAAATAATACTGTAACAAAAGCTTGCAACATCTGAAGTTCGAGTGGATAAATGCTGATACCTGCATCGATATCCCGAGCCAGTGGTGCAATTTGGAAATCAAGGGCACCAGTCACAAGAACGATACGGTAGCCCAAGGTCTTCAACACTGCTATATGTTCCACAGCGCCAGCGAATATCCTGTTCAACGTGAAAACCAACGACCATCCCTGTTTCTCCACTCAGAAGAAAGTTGCTATTACTGAGCTGACGCCCAGCTCTCTCCAATGCTGCTGAAGCAAAAGAAAATCTAATGGCATCGTCTCATCAATTGAACTTCGTTGGCTGTGACTAATCTCAATGTGATAACGCTCGGTGTACGCACTAGTTATTACAGTCCAAAGAGCTACTCTCTTGCTACATATATTAAAAGGTTCTTAGAGATTGCTTCACTGTATCGGCATTCGAAGGCTTTACTTCTCGTAATCATCTCTAAAATCTGGACTGGCACTGCAATCTCGGCCATAGGCGAAGGCATGCAGGGAAACCGAAAATATTCAAGTCAATGCAACAGACTTCTTTCCGCCAGTAGGTAACAGTTTCATGGTTTAAAATGACAGCCCCACAGTTAGAGCTAATGGCGCTGTTATTCCGGCGTTTGATCTTTCCACAGTATTCCTGATAAGAATGATGTGGAGTCCAGCGAGGTTGCTATGATTATTGTGACCTGATGTATAAGCGGATGTTCTTGAACCTGGCGTCGACGTCAGATCCCGAGCTTCCAAATTTATCTTCTCGGCTCATATAACTTGGAGTTTATCAAGACAATTGTCGTCTATTGTACTGCAATCAGGTCACAAGAGGCTGCTGGAGAGGAACTCACCTCGGCTTATAATAACGTTCGTAAATGAGAGCAGCCATTGAGCTCTTGCTATCAGCTGATCGTCCTTTATAATGATTGGAGTAGAAAATTCGATTGAAGGTGGCTCGATCAAAATGATCTACGAGGAGGTAAAAAATGCACAGTACTGCGAAGCAGGGAACCCAAACAAATTTCATGAAGAAGGACAGCTCCGACATACGAACAGCCAGATAAGCGAGTACCACATTTGTTCGGGTAATAGTTCCATCCACATCAAAAAAAGCTGCTTTATGTCGAACTTGCGCATCTGTCCTGGTTTCACTTCCAGTACTTGGGTTCATAGATTGCTCTGCATTGATCTTGCTGACCGGATCTGATTCAGGGAGCTCAAAGTTGGGAACAGGAACATCCACTGAGCATTTGATGACCAGGCCTCTCTTGATCTTGATATTCAGAACAAAATAAAATTTTCCATTGCCCGTGGCAAATACTTTCCTCACTGAATTCTTGCAAATGCCAAGACATCCACCAGTCTGAAATTTAAAAGGAGCCGGAGATGAATCAAAAGCTTTAGAAACGCTTGAGTCCAAACGCTTGTAATGACCGCTGGCATTGACATCTGCGGCAGAGAACATAAATGAGCAACTCCTTCTCTCCAAGAGCGTGAATCTTCGCTACCTCAATTTATTCATTGGATGGAAAAAGAGTAACTGGACCTAATTTGACTTCAACCACATGCAGGAGTATGACCAGAAACGCATATTTAGCAATCTCACTCGACATGTGCAGAACAACTGAGAGGGATTATTTGCATTTGAGAACGCTGATTCATAATGGCTCATTGTTTCAGGAAGTAGGGTGCTTTTGACGCGATTCTCCTACTTCTGGTACATACACACTAACAGGTGAGCCACTTAAAGACCAGGCGTGCAGGAAGGAGAAGATCAGACCACTCCTGTTACCACCACTCTCATGGAAGAATGCTTCTGTATAAGGTAGGAGTGTCAAGTTCTAAACAGTGTTTACAATAATTTCCTTCTGAGATCATCGACTGGAATTGCTATACATTCTGAAAAGTGGAAAGAGAAATTAAAAAACTATCACGGGAAGAAAGAAAAATCTCGAAATCGCCACAGATTCTCCTGAGTACGATGAGCAGAAAATCAGAAATTCCACTCTGAGCAGACAGTCTGTATAAAGCAAATGTGCAGCGACCGGAGCATGCCAGTCGAGGTTATGCGAATGAATATGCTTAAGCTCGAAAATCAAACTGAACTAGATAGGTATATCCGGAAGAATGTCTCTACCGTTCGAGGCAGTGGATGTCAATCGAGCTTTTGATATTTTCCTACTACCGAAGACGCGGCTGGTGCGAGGTGATTCTCCGGATAGAAGAGTAACCGCGCGCGGGACAGAGTGAAAATTCAGCTGCCAGCACGCAGAGGAACTCGAACTGCTGCCGTAACTCGTGAGGATTGACATTATGCCCACACCCGACCGCGATCGCAGCGGTCAACGCGAATCACGCTGAGAGGCCGGCGAATGCATGAAGAAATCTCTAGAGAGCACTGGGAAAGATTATCGAAAAATATATAATTTCGGAAATCTTGAAAACGTCCTCCTCGACTCTGCTATCCCCCGCTCCGGTCCTGGTCTCCTGAAAACTGCTCCTCAATCTTCCTCCTCCTGATTCTCACTCTCACTCTGATTCTCTCGCGGAGCATGACCGAATGCAATTCCGTCCAAAATTCTTGGCTGCACGATTCTTCGTCGTCGTTCCGCTTCCGCCTCCGCCACAATGCCGTCCAGAGGCGACGGGTGCTTGTCTGCCGAACTAAGACTAAGACTAAGACTCGGCGCCTCCTTCAGCTCACATCATTCGAACCGCAGATTCATCGTCCTCCGACTGCCGTCTCGGTCGCGGCCATGGCTGCGCTCCCGCTCTCGGTTTCTTCGGCACGACTGGAATCCGCTGCCACTGCTAATTTAGGCATCTCGCTCTGATCGCGCACAATACCGTTCGGACTCCACCCCGAGCCCAATCGGACTAATTGGGCGCCTTGTCCAAGTCCCGATTAGGCAAGACAGCTCCAGCTTGGACAGCTTGGGCCGATTCTCTATCTGACACGCGTCAGAGGTTCTCGAGTGGTTTTCCTGTTTCGAGAAACCGCCTTTTGCTCGAGAAACCCCCTGCTCACTCGACCTGTACATACTCTTCGTAGTACAGTATGTAATTTAATGGGCACAAAATCCACCCCAAGTGCCATGTTTTGAGTTACATCTTGCTGTGGCCTTGCATGGTACGTCGAGCCATGTCTGACGAACTTCTGTTGTCTTTTTTTTTACTTTATGCCTATCATTATTTAGTTATAAATATTGATAAATTATAATATATATGGAAAAAGAACTGAATTATTTGAAATTTTCTCTGATTATATAGATTATTTAATTTTGATATTTTGGACATAATAAACAAGTTATATGCATTCTTGTGATACTACGAAAACTAGTTTCTACCTATATCTTGTTATACTTATGAGATCTTCCGATTTTTTTTGTTATTTACTTGCTGCCGATATGATTATGCGGATGATCATCCTCTCATGAATTAAAACACTGTTCACTAGGAGGCGTTAGATTTACTTAGTCATAGGTAGCATCAACAAGCATTCTTCGTTGAGAAATTTCCACCATGATTTCAATATTTTCTAAAGTTGATTGTTTTCAATATTGTAGGTATTTTTATCCATAATTATTTTTTTACTAATAACGTGTCAGAAATGATGTGAAGATTTCATATTGAAGAAAAAACAATATTTTCATGTTTATAAGTGTTGTGATTAGTTAGTAGGTTTTACTTTAGTTGAATGATACTAAGTTAGTGCCTGCTAGTTGGAGACTCTAATGGAGTGACTACTGAACCTTCAGCGTTGGAATAGCTCTCAGTGGATTAGTTGTGGTATTCCATTAGCATGGGCCTGATTTCTACTAATTGTGGAATGAGTTTTGTTTGACTTTATATGAGATTCGTGTTTCATGCTAGTGGTGAGTTCTTGAGATTTTCACTCGAAAAAATTGTGAAACATTTTTGTATGTATATTCTCTTGTTTTTTATGTGTATGTGTGTGATATATATTGTATGATGATAGGTATTCGCACGAAAAGTTAAAAAAATTTGAGAGAGTCAATTTGCATATATAAGTATTACAGAAAGTCAACCTACATATCTTTATTCAATATTAGCCTATGTTTTTTAACAAAATCTGTTCATATTGCTTCGTTTAATATCTAGAATCATATATTGTTAATGAATTGACTACAAAATTTACCGACAACAACTAACAAGAGATACAAACAACAAAGGTTTTTACGACTTTTGATGCTGAATTATTTATGTAAATGTTCATATTGTGGTGGCAAAAAAAAAATACAATCTTCCACATTTTTATAATCAATTGATGATATATTACATAAAGCTTACATATTGTAAGTAATATCTTCATACTTACAGTATGAAGATACTTAAGATAATGAGAAAGCTAAAAGATTGCAACATGGTTTGGTATACTTCTTTCAAGCTATACTATCAATTTATGGTGTTTATAGATTTGGATTGATTTTGGTAATTGCGCTACAAACAGTACCCTCCCATTCAATCGAGATTAGAATATTAAAGTCTAGATGTTGTTTGATATGATATGCTTAAGTCTGGTCTTTCAAGACCAGACTTAAGCCAATTTGGTCAATTGTGCCAGAAGATATCACAAGAAGCTAGCATAAAGCACTTTGTATTTTCTCGCTATATTTCTTCAAATGTTCTTTTCATCTTGCATCTTGTTTAATACTATTTGCGAAAGAAGTGCAACTGGGTGTTAGCTACGTTTAACTTTTTATATATCTTTTATAAATCAAACTAAGAATTTGGTTTTATATTTTTCTTAGCATTTGACCATATTTAGCTAACGAGAATACGGAAGCTTGGCCAATGGGAGGTTCAAGAATAGTTCAAAATTATCTAATACACATTACATTGATCATTAAAGAGAAAACGCTATAATTTTAGAATTGAATGAAGCTAGTCATCTTCATAGTAGACAAGTTGCTCCTAGCCTCACAAGCATGACCTTCTTAGCATGCTATAATGTAGTTTTGTCTCTTACTATATTTAGATGTTGAGCTTAAGGTTACCGCTCGCTGGAGACTATAGAGTCCCGACGACTCGAAGAAATGACGTTCTTCGAGTTGAGCCTCTAGCGTTGAGAATAGAGCAACTGCTTGTAAGCGTCAACATGGAGTCTCTTTGAAGTGGGTTGGGCTCGACCTATGTATGTGACGGTTTTGTTGCTAGTGGGGTAATCGAGACCAATGATCGAGCTCCAGAAACAAATCTCACAGGTAGCTCGCTCATACGTCCATCACCTGACTGACAACCAGGACAATAGGCAGCTCTCTCTGTCTAATAGTTCATTTGAAAATCCATCGGATACAAGACTGCTCCTCCAACAAGCACATCATCCGATTCTGTTGACGTCACAACAACGCGAACTCCAAGCTGTGAGCTATCACGTGCGTCATCATGCCTCAACTGCACTGATACGCTCTCCTTGGTCATGAAGTATGACCTATCACTGGCACCTCCAAGTGATGTCTGGATTGTGAATGTACAAGGCTCCAACTCGGATCTCCGAACTTCCAAACTGATGCAAGCTACCTTGCACAACATCAAGGGCTGTGCGCCAAAGTCAAGCAAAACTCTGGCTGGCACATACACCTATCATGTAGAACTCAACAAGCAAAACAAACCACTCCGGTTGTCCACCATACACACATCATGGACAATACTCTTGGATCAATGGCGGGCCGTGATGGTAAACTCCATCCTTTCCGTTGCCGCATGCCAAGTTGTTTCAACCCTTAGTGTATGCGTTAAGTATTGTTCCTCAGCAATATCCTCGCGTATTTTGGCACTTGTAGCAGTGACACTCCCACGTTCACACAACGTGACTCCTACACAAAATACAAGAGCCACATCAACCCCGGAGGCCATTAGTTCTATGGTTGAAAATAGTGGAGATCTCACTACCGAAGTAGCCATCCGCATTGCTGCACTAGATGATGTCTCCGCGCTCACAACATGTGATGTAAATGCCTCATTTTGCACTATCGGATCACTAGGTGGTGTAGGAATGATGGATGAAGTCCTCCCCACCTCTGACAACAAGAATGACTGGGGAAGCCTAGCTTGTCTCACATCCTCATCCCTTTTAGGGTCTAACTTCACAGTCGCACCACGTGGTTCTGAAGCACAAGCAGCACCTCTCGTCACTGCAACTGATGCCTGAACCTGGGCTACACTTGCCAAATAAAAGAAGTCCTTTCCTTCGTGAGAAATGGAAGCTCCAGCTCCAGAACTAGCCATGGCAGCAAGCCTCTGCTCCAACTTCTCAATCCGAGTAGCCATAGCGGCCTTTGTGGTATGAATAGCACCCACTACGGGCCGTCCGGTGGCATCTACACCAACACCTTTACCACCTCAACCCCCTCGGCCTCGTGGAGCACCTCTGCCACGACCTCTACCCCCATATCTCAACTCTTGATGAAGGTTAAAACATTGCTCTGAAGGATGATCCGCCTGACCACAATGGTCACAGACAACTTGTGTCAACTGAGGTCTTACTTGTGAACCTCGTCCTCTTGCCTCTTGGGTACAATCCTTCCTCATGTGACTACCTCCACATGTCAAACACGTTGGTCCCTACTATTGACTAGAAAATGAGGACAATGGTGCACGCGCACCTGTCTCTCTGTGACCTAACTAAGGTCGTGCCTAAACTCCACGATTCTCACCACCAGTGGGACGAGACTGTGCGGTGTTATGCTGGACACGAGAAGTAATGATCGTGTCCTTACTAAACGAAGACATCACCACTCTCTCCTTCACTATATTAAGCTCAATCTTTTGAGACAAAGCGAACACGTGGGCTAATGTGGATGACGCATCGCTCACGAGGGTAGCATCACGTACCCTCCTCTGCAAATCTCTGTCCAAAATGCGGTACCAATATTGGACAGCCTATGCCTTAGTCACACCATGGATAACCGAGATCAAACGGCACATAAGAGTGTATGGCTCCCGAAGGCTCTCACCATTCTTCCGTTCAAATCTTGAAGAGCCTTCAACTTCTCTGTCTTCACCTCTTGGTAATTGTTACTCAACCTCTTGAAGAACTATAACACTAGGAATATGAGAGTTGTTCACTCGAAGATAGAAACGTAAACTCTAAAGATGAAAAATACCAACAATGGTTCACCTATCCATTATATAGCTCTCACGAACGAGTCCAAAGAGATAAGATCTTATTCCACCATCCATCCTACTCATAGTGGATGGATGACGTGGCGGATAAGCGTAACAAGCACACGGATCGCTGACGTGGCGCTCCCAACTAACACACTAACAAACACACTCAATCCTTACCTACAAGCACACAGATTGTTAACGTGACACTGTCAACAAACACATCCACTCTCTACCAACCAAGCGCGCGGATAGCTGACGTCGCAGCTATGACTAGTGCACACTAAAGTATCTATATCAACATTTAGAGTAACCTCTACTTTAGTTCTAACTAACTAAAGATGTTTACACACCGTGACTGTGGATACCAGTTGTTGCAGCTGCTAAGATCAAATGTGACTGAGAAGCTAAGGCAAGAGTATCGAGACCTCTTATGCGATCGACCCGTATGTATAGAGCATGAGGAGTACAAGCCTTTGGCAGTTTCCAAAGGGCACATGGAGGTTTGGCTAGGCGGAGCTGGAGCTTGACTTCATCAGAAATTGGATATTGGCTCATACCACAGTCAGTCAGTGGCTAAGGACAAATCTGATCGGTCGGTTGTGGTTGTGTTCTTGCCTTGGTTTGAAATTTGGAATTGGAAAGCATTGTCACCATCTATCAGAGCTGATCAAACACGTTGAGGAGTTCCCTAATACTCTTACTGAAATGCTTCGTACGGAAGTGTGCATATTGATATATTCCTGGACAATGTCAATAAATCCTTCAATCTTTTTGATTCGTACAATAAAGACATAAGACAACGTCTTCCTAAGTTATGCACAATAGAACTGCCAGGCTTTCTGGCTTAAACCGCAAAAGTTGTTGATGACCCAAAAGCATCATCACAGCAGGTTAGTATGTCAAAATGTGTAGGAGTCATTTATGTTGAACTATCATGGCTATTGCTCTTACCTATCATTGTGTCAAAGAAACTTACGCCAAGTAAAATATCTTCTCCAATTATTATTTGAGCAAATAGATTTTTATTTTGATTGTTATGAAACTCTAGCATTGGCTAAAATAAAATGCGCAATACTACATGGACACGAAGCTCATTTATGGACAATACATGAGATGGATATGACGCGGTGAGAGAAGAACTGCGGACTCTGATGTAAAATCCATTATCACGGACGAAAGTACAGTGCAAAGCCATTTAATAAAATTCATCAAATTTGAGTATTTTGGCGTGTTGCATTTTCTTGACTTCATATTTATTCAAAAGAGCATGTCTTACACCAAGATTGACATCAAAACACCACGAATGACAGAAAATAAAAATCACACTCTAGAGAACTCTGAATTCTTACTAATTCTAAGAGTATGTATTAGTTTCAAAAGAAATACAAGTTGTGCGCATTGTACTCACTACGAATTTGATATCAACAAAATATCTCACAAAGGCCTATGCTTAAAACAATATTTGAAAAACTGAATATGATTTGTTTAAATAATTATCTACATTAATAATTAAATCTCAATTCAAAATATTGATTTTTGCCCCATAATATTTCATAATGTCATGCATAATAAACATAATTTGGGAATTTTATAATATCAATGTTATTTATGTAAAGCACTAAGTTGTAATTTCATAGTTCAAATCAACCTTATGTTTAATTCAACTTTTATTTAGTAAAATTTTACTGTCAAATTTTAATGATTGAAAATAAATATGATATCAACTTATAGTTTTTTTTATATTTATTATAAATGATGAAAAATATTTTTCAAAATTACAATAAATATCAAGTTGTTTGAAAATTTGAATGATATGTCACAATCAGCTTAGAAAAATCAACATTTAGATTAGAAAATTGCTGATCATAAAAAATGATATATCAAACATTTCACATCAAGTTGTGAAGTATCATTTGAATTTGAATAATGCAAATCAGCATTAATAAAATCAGCAATTTTCATCTGTTTTTGTTCTATACTATAAATGTTTAATAAAACATCACAGAAATATTGAATTTGTTCACTTTTGAAATCAATTATTATTCACAAATGATCACATCTTTTTCAACAAAACTTGAAAATAATTGTAATTCATTATGTGCTTGTGCTAGTGAAGAATTATCGTGAATTTTAATCAAGAAATTTGAAATTGATTGATTGATAAAATTTATTAACAAAATAAGAAAATAATTAAATTTTTTGTAATATTGAGATATATTATCAAAGGTAAAATATATTGATAAAATATTTAAATATTACAAATATATATATATATTATTATTATTTTAACAATCTTATCAATCAATTTGAAATTTCTTGATAAAAATTCATAGTAATGCTTCCATGTTTGTATAATATAGCATGGCGGAGCAGAGAGTGATGAAACAAGAAGAGTCCATAGAGACCAAAGGAGAGTAGAAAAAGGAACATATCTAAGCATCTAAAATATTACTTCAGTACAAATCATGTAATTTTGCTTGGTGTTGAATGTGGAATAATATTAAATAGACAAGTTTATTGTAAATAATCATATTTGAATTAATTTTTAATAAAATAAAAATTAATTCCTCTTTGATAAATATTTTTGTTTTTTTTAATTGAGAGCAATTGTTAGATAATTTAGCTTGTTTATTTGTTTTTTTAATCTGCCATAATTAGCCGTATGCACAAGTTGTTGGAGTGGTAACTGGTTCTCTCACTCTAGCTGCGCTGAGTCGTTAGGTGGAGCAAGTTCTGTGGCGTTCATGCAGTAATACGTCCAAGTAGTTAGGATCGTGCATGGCATGTACGTGGTCATGTGTTATTATGATCAGACCTATATATGCTTTACATAGGAAAAGGCTCCTAGTTTTACAAAGCACCAAAATCACTTTGTTTGTGTGTGTTTTCTGTTATTCTGTTGTGTGTTTTGTGTGATCTGTTGAACAAATTTAGCCCGATTGCCAACAGCAATCGGGCTAAATTTGTGTCTTGGTGAAATTTTTTCCAAATATGTTTATAACATTCTTGAATCTATATATCCTTGAGATGCAATAGAAAAATTGATCTATAAAAGATTTTATAAAGTTAAAAATTCTTTCACTTTTGTTGTAATCTAATAATAATCAAAACATAAGTCTATTTTTTATTTAATATTATTAAGAATTTTAAAATATTTATATTGCTAATTTTGCATAAAATAAAAAACAAAATTTTTTGTAAATAATATAATGAAATGAATTATACTATTCATTATAATAAATAATTAAAAACCACGATTTTTAAAAAATTAGATTCAGATATAATTGAAAAAAATTGCAATTTTTAAATAATTTTTAAATAATACAATTAATATATTTAATTTACAAAATATGTCTACAAAATTCAAAAATTAATAAAAATTTTCAAAAAAATACATAATAATTAATCTTTATTTTGCATTAAACTAACCAAAAAATTTTATGTTTAATTCTTTTGTTAATAAATTAAATCGTTTTGAATTTAATTTTTTGCATTTTTTAGTATTTAGGATCAACAATATATATTTTTTAAATTGTTTAGAATTTTTTCAACTTTCACCTAATCTCAATGATTGTTTCTTAAACTTTTGATAAAATTACATATGCAATTTTAAATGATGTAAAATTTATCTATGTTGTTGCAAACAATATTTTTTTTCTAATTGCAATTTTTCCATAAAATTATCATTTTTTTATGTAATCTAATTTCATCAATTGGTTTGAATTTCAATCTTTGCAACGTCATTAATACATGACATTTGCATGACAGCATTTGCAATATGGTAGTTGCAGTTCACATACATAATTGTTATATTTATTTATTTAACTCATTTTAAAAAACATTCTAAATTATCAAACAAAATTCTTCTTCATGATAATATTTCACCACAAATTTTTTTATCCATCAAGTAGTGATTACATTGTTTTGTTGTCAATATAATGATTATTTTCTTTCTATTTTTTATTTATTGAAAAATTATTTTCTCTGGTGATAATTTTGCTAGACCACTACCAGCTTTCGAGAAAAAAAACATCTGAATGCCAGTCACAAATCTATTCTTGTTGAAGAATGTTATATGTTTTTCTATTTAATTAGTAACTAATTTGATGAATAAATTAGAATCTCAATATTTCTTTTCAAATTAATATTGTACAACAAAACATTGTTTAATGTTAAAAATCTATATTTTTAATCCCCCATGTGTGAACTTTTCAAAGCATATATTTCAAATTGTTAGCAAGAACGTCAAAACTTTTCACAAAATTACTATACAATTTGATTTATCTTAGAATATTATTTTGATTGAGTTTCATTGTTTGATGCAATATTCAATGAAAAGTTTAATTTAGCTCATCATTTAGACTCAATTAGCTATCATCTATTATCAAAGTAATCAATTTCTCACTAATCAGATTTATGATTTGAAATTTTGATATATATTTTTGTTTTATATAAAAAAATATTCTTGTGAATATATAGTGTGATAATTAAAAATTTTACTTTAGGTTAAAATATAATAAAAAATAAAAATATTTTTATTTATTTATTATTTGATCTTATGATTGTAGTTTGCATATAATGTTAGACCATAATACATCATTTTTTAAAAAAGATCAAAATTACTACAAAAAACTATCTTGTGAATATATTCATCTACATCAAAATTAATTATATTTTCTCTCCATTCAATTTTATTGAATATTTTTCTCATTTAAATTCATCAAATAAGTAACATATATGAAAACATGTATATATATATATATTTCAGTAGTAATTACAAGTAAATTGGATTACATAATAATTATCATCAAATAGTAATCATGTTACATAACACATTATATGCAATAACTTATACAGATTGAAACGATATTTAACATAGTACCGGAATCTCTTGATCGTAATGATAAGCTAACCTATATTCCAACTCTATAGTAACAAAGAGTTAAACTCTATACATAGCAATGAGGAGCGTGAGATATGTCTCCCATGTCAATAAAGATCATTGTTGAAATAATCTGACCTGCAAACAGGAAGAAATGTCAGTTTTGTCATGGCGATCCATCTCCTTGTGGACCCCACTGCGACACTCGAGAGCCACTTCTGCACGATGGTAACCATTTTCTTCTACCTCGGTACGACTCTGCCTCTCCACTAAACCCCTTCGTACGACAAGAGAAGAGGAGGAGCGACTGTTATTCCAGATTGAACGCATGAAGTTCGGTCGTATGTACGCTGTATTAGAATATGTGTACGAAAGTAATAAATGTTGGTGGGCACCTTTCATATAAAGGATTCATTTATTTGGCAGCCCCTTGAATATAAACCCTGGGATTCTACGAAATCAGTTGAGCTTAGAGCGACATTACAGATTCTGGGGCCAGAGCGAGGGCAGTAGGGCATGAGGGTCACTATGGCATTAGCTGAGTCAAATGCAGCACCTTCTTCCTCGGTTACGCTGCGCAGGTCGATGTCGATGGAGCACTTGGAACCTATTCTTCGGTCCTGATTTTGATGGGCGGCCGGAGGAGGGCAGAAGACTTGGAACTTGTGCTATGTGAAGAGAAGAATCATAATTGGAACAGTGGCAGATTGCTCGGTGCGAGCTTTGAGCGATTGTAGAGGCTGGGATTTGGTAGCGCGAAGGCTGCAGAAGCCAGTGCCGAAAGGCGATCAGCAGCAGCAAGTAGACGGATGAACTGATATCAGATTTGAAGCCATGGGTCGAGATGATCTGAAGGTGAGCGAAGCATTGCCTTCGCCATCTGACGGCGAACTTGAAGAAGAGGAGAGCGCCGAGTTGGTTCTGTTCCAAGTGAAAGAGTGCTATGTATATTTGGTACGTCTCGTCCGTTGAACTTTGGCTTCCTTCCATCTTTCAAATTCGTCCTGCTTTTTGCCTGGGCCAGCAGTCCACTCTTTACCATTTATGCTTCAACAAGCTGAACGTATCCAAGTGAATTGTAATATTCACGATAAATTCCACAGGACCGAAATCGGAGAAGACTCACGATTTTCCTCACTGTAATCATCGATGTTATTTCCGGATATCATTGTGTCCTTCCTTCAAGTAGATTTCTCGTGGTCAACGACCCATCGAACCTTGAAGGCTGATGTCTGACTGTCGCTCTGTATGGCTCTTTCGAGCGATCCTTGTATAAGGACATCGTCATTCCACCCCGATCGTGCTCTCAGTGACACAATCTGAAATGTCCAATAGATCTGCCTGAGAACTTCCAAATGTCTAAAGAGCTTGGTTTTCTGTCTGCAGTGTCCTCGATGATTTCAAAGTGGTACTCTGCTTCTGACAGCGAAGCCAGTTATGAACTTAGCGTATCACGTCTTTACATATGTTGTCTCACCCCTTTGTCATTTGTTTCTCAGATACCTCCGAGGAAGAGTGCAGCTTCGTATAGGTAAACCTGAACTTGCAGCGAGCATCGGAATCGTGCAGAGCGATCGTTTTTTTTTCCCCTAGGTGAAAGTGAATGCTTAAGTTGAAGTAGGACTTCTCTAAGAATTTTCGTTTCTTGGTCCGCATTTTTTCTGAAAGTTGTTAGTTTCTTATTTGCAGAGCAGATGAATGGGACATCAACAAATGGAACTGGGAGGGCGCTCTGAGAGTAGTTTCAAAAGGAGAGGAATGCTTCATCAAGCTGGAGGATAAATCAACAGGCATTACTCTCACCGAAAGTATTCTTATACCAATCTTTAAAGCAACTGACAATGATTGAAAACCTTCATTGTGTGATACCACTCTCAGACTGGATATTTATACTATTGTAGGAGAACTGTACGCTCAAGCGATTGTGCGCCAAGATCAACCTCTTCCTCTGGAGGCTGTGATCGACAGTAGCAGGTGAGTGCATCCAATATAGGTCCATGAAACTTGAGAGCAGTGATCTGAAAGTTGCATTAATAGTCAACGTGGTATGATTCCAAAAGCTGAGTACGATAGAGGATGATTGGTAAATTCCTTCAGCCTTCTTTCATTGACGAATGCGCTGGAATTGCACGTTTTTCGTTCGAAGTCCATTGTAGACTGCATGTAGACTTATAAGGTCTTCACTGCGAACGGTTTTTCTTACAGCTGCATTTCGAGTAAGTCGTGGAGCCTGGGATGTCAGTGCTAAGTTTCATGTGTTTTGGTACCGGTTTAGAAATTCCAAGTAAAATTTTAAATCTTATGGAATAACTGACGAAGAATCGTATTTCTTGGTTTTTCCTTTGTTTGGTCACAGGTTCTTCGTACTGCGCATAGAAGACACATCTAACAGCAGTACGTGATTCTGTACACTTGTTTCTTGCTGCGCTGAAAATTTTCCAGCTCTGATTGTTTCGATATTTCAGCCGACTAGAGGAGACCGATGTATTTGACTTGCACCACTGTCGTGTTTTATGCAGAGCAGAAAAGACATGCATTTATTGGACTTGGACTTCGTGAGAGGCCGCAAGCATATGACTTTCAAGCTGCAATATTTGACCATGTGAAGTATCCCCTCAGAAGCCTAATAGTTTGGAAGCCAATTGCTGTTCATGCTGAGGGCATCATTCGGACTCAGCCTTACCTCGTCTGTACTTACTTCGATTTCGTTTTCTCTTCGGTTAGATGACTTTTGGGCTAAACCATGAGGTGACCTGGTTGTGTGTGATGTTGACGTGAAGTTTGTGATTATCGTTAAGCGACCAAGGAAGTCTGCTTTCTTTAATACGGGTCCTTGATTTGCTTCAGGAGGAATATCGTGCTCTGGGTCGCATGGCTTTCGTGCCGTCTTGTATGGTCTCAGCGTACATCCTAGTCTTGTTTGTTACTTGTACCAAACAGGGTGTGGTTCCTCTTCGTTTTTCTTGATGTTTTGCTAAACAGCACCACCGTGCGAGTTTATTTGTCGCAATTTGGAATATAGTCAGTCTTGTTATCTTGACGGACACAGATATCTTAATAAGAAGAAGGAAGCTGAAGAGATGGAGCAAGAGTACCAAACGAAACCTTCGGTGGATTACAGTCTGAAAGAGGGAGAGACTCTCCGACTGCAGATCAAAACAGTGAGTGAAAATTTTTCACAATGCAGAAATGATTGTGGCTTATAATGCATAAGATGTGAATAAGTTTGTGCCCTCTTGGTACTTCAAGAATGCACGTAGTATCATTAAACGTGTTTGTATCATTTCTCGAAGCTCGGAAGTGGATTTTAGTTTTCCTTTTTCTGAATATTCGTTCCTCAACAGGCTTAGGGGTATGGGGTTTCTCGTCTTCTGATATCAAGTCGTATATTAGGCTGTTGAGGAAAGCCTCTGTAATTGTTGATTTCTTCTGACGTTGTTAACAAAAGTCTTACTCTTTAGTTTAGTGTTCAAACGCTGAGATTCCGATTTGGATCTGCTAGTTTATGTAACCTGCCGTCGTGGCATGTCCCATGTTGTGTATTTGTCCTTGTGTGCAGCCCAACAAGACCTCTCCGGGAGGCTCTTTGAAGGCTGGCAAGATAATGGATCTTTCGTCATTACAAGAGACACTGCCAGAAGCAACCTTGATGAGGCAGGTATCAGCTGGTAGTGCGGTTCCTATCCTGGTGCCTCCTCCACCGCCACCACCGTCACCCCTATCAGGAGGCTTATCTCCTGCCATACCAGGAACCCCCTCGCCTGCCAGCAGCGATATTGTGGGGAAGAATATAGTCAGTCAAACAGCAGTGATAGACGGACCAGATGAAGATTTCGGTGACTTTCAGGCAGCTTAAACTCTGTAATTTGTAGAATATAAGACATCAACAATGTTATATCACTGCCATGGCCGGTGAAGCGAATAAATCTCCCTGAACTGGAGAAAATACAAGCGAGTACTCAGGTGAGGAATCAAACGCTCGCGTAGTATTGTACCTCCGAGATGGACTCGCCTTGGAACCTCATCATCACTTATAGACTGCGCATTCGTAGAGGCTTATTGTCAACTAGTGTTGACTCTTTCATCGCTACTCGAGCAAATCCGCTGAAGAGAGATGCCACCCATGTATTTTGATGTTGGCCAGTGTGGTTGAAACGGCCAGATCTTTAATCAGGAAGCAACATCCACTGATATATCTCCCGCTTTGGCTAACTATACAGTTTCTCTACTGTCCGACAAGCGTTGACAGGAACGTGGAAAGAGGTCTTGTGGCGCATCGCCAGATGATCCGAATGGACACTTTCCACTTGCTGTTAGTCGTAAGGTCCACTCTACGTAGCTGGTCATGAAATGGTCATGAAATGGCCGCTCTGTTTTCTACGAGAAAGCCAAGGTCCTATTGCCGACACCGCAACCGAGCTCCATTCGGAACCTCGAGGCAGAAAATATGACTCGAGGGGAAACCATGGATAGGACGTACTCTTACACTCACAAGACCCAACAAGGGTAGTTGGAAACAAAGAAATGTTAGCTCAGAAAGAAGTTCGAAGAGCCAGTAGACAAAATGAGAGCTGAAACGCAATCTAAGTCATGTAGAGACGGGGTACACCAGATGTCGAGTTGACTGGACTCTGCCCAAATGAACTTTGTGACGACATAAGGTCTCTGGAATTATCAACTCTCCACAGTAACTGATCCGTGTCCAAATAAAGTGAACAAATGACCGATGCTAAGCAATGTACGTTTTGCTGCCTTAGACGCAAGCAACAAGTAAGGACTGACCGTTACTTTCGTTCTAAGTGTTTTACACAGAGTAACGTGAAGGAGCATTTGGTCAAATTGATCTGTGCCTGTGTGAAATCTTTAATGCCTGGGAAGGTAACCATACTAACGATACCATCATTCTACGCAGCCTCGGTCCGGTACGATTGTAGGTTGCCACACTTGCTATCTTGTCCCTGCCGTATGTTAAAAATGATGATCTTCAACAAAACTAGACTGAAGTTATCGAAACACGAGTGAAGCTGTTTATCGAAATAATGTGTAGTACACAATAGGTATAATCTGTATGCACAAGAAGTACATCCATGACTTTTGACCCTTTGGGTCCCCCGGGCTTGGTCTAATACCATTTACCATATACCATGCATTTTCATGAAGCTCTTGTTTGTCACGACTTATGTAGTAGTTAACTTAGTGTAGGATTAGACACAGCAGTTAGATAGAGCCGATAGACTGTACTCAAATGTCAGCCCTTGAGTCTAGTGAGTACTTGTCATATCCACTGGAACATTTAGAGCAAAAGACAGCAAGTGTGGCTGTAGCTCAACCGAGTTCGGCCTCTAGAGCTGGTGCCTGTACATCGTATGATGCAGATATCATAGAGTTCATGTGTGCAGTAGCACAACCATGCATAGTTGCAATGACTCGTAGTGCAGCACAAATTAGTGCTATTGAATCTAGAGAGGCATGGGTGAGATTGGATCTGCAGAGAGGAGAGATGGGCTGGCGAGTGTAGTAGCATAGTTCATAGAATAGCAGAGGTCTTTTGTTTTCAGAACGAGCTTTGGGTCAAAGTGCTCCGAACAAACAGGGTAGAAATATTACCCCAAAGACATAGTTAGAGAACTCCGATGCGTACCATGGAAGAGTGCTGGCGTACACGTTCATGATACATGTTCAAAGCATGTAACGTTCCGAGCGTGTGGGAACGTAATGGCTAAGATGCGCGGGAGTTCCAAATAGACCGGGATGCGTTCACATTCGACAATGCTCGTCAAATTGTCAAAGGGAACTACTTTACACATTATGAAACTTGTTCTGCCCACACTAAACCAGTCGATAGTGTCGTATGAACTAAGAGTGCTAATAATCGACACTTATCATTCTTTGATCTGATATCAAACGTGGACTGAAGATGATCTGGCGAGAGAGAGAGAGAGAGAGAGAGAGAGAGCTATCGTTCTTGGCATTTCGATGGGATTATGTGACGAGATTCCTAGTCAACTGAAGATGCAATCGGATGGCGAGTACATCTAGAGTCGTGGGATGCAACTTTGTGGGTCAAGAGTTTGGATTGAGATTACCATGCAGATAAGGATGGTTATGACTTGGACGAGATGACAGTGCACATGCCGTTCGCCATTGATCGAATTGACTTTCCCTGTGGTTAGATCCAGTGATATGATTTGAGATCCCTTTTGTATGCGCATTTTGTATACATTCAACCAGATTTTTACATCTCCAGAAAATAACTATGCAACTTGGCATAAGTTGTACTTAGTCAAAGTCCTTGTAACTAGAAAAGCAGCGAACTCAATAAGTTAAAGTGTTCTACGATTTGTCTTTTTTGATTCAGATACATGCTCGTATGAGTTGGTTCACTCCGACCAATTACGTATAGTGTGAAATTGCTTGTAAGTGGGATGTGATGAGCAAACAAGCTCTGAAGAACAACACAGTACTGCAAGACCTCTAAATGAAGATGCAGTTTTTTAAAATCCAACCTTCTGTTTGGAATCCTAATGTAGTTACATAGGAGTAGCTAGACAAGATGATTCACAATCTGTACGTCTACGTCACCACCAATGTAGCATGTATATAATCCTGCTCTGAAAAATGAATGAGCGCTTGACTGTATAGTATTTTCTTGAGCTCTTTATATGAATCGTCTTCTATAATATTTCCTTTTACTCTACATTTACTTTCAGCTTACTAAATAAATTTCTGCTTAATAAATTTTTTTTAATAATTAACAATCAATTTCTCCAATCTCTGCCAAACTTCGAAAAATTTCCAAGTTTTTTTGAATTTGCAATGTTTCCTTTTCATTTTTTTTCGATTCTTGGTCATAATTTTTTTTAAAATATTTTCAACCACTTATATGTATCAAAGAACGATATGCATACTTCTTGTGCAAGATCCAGAATAAATGATGATATGTTGCTCTAAACAATCCCAAACTTCATCTGAATATACGTTCTCATATTTTTATTCGAAATATATTTAGATTTCCAAAAAATGTACTATCACACATGCGTTGATGTAATTAAAACGATTATTCAAACGTATAATTCAAATTATACGGATATTTCTGGCAACGCTTATGTTTTTCAGCCAGTTTCATTTAAAACTTAAAAAAAAAAACTTGATTTACAACATTCAAGATTTAAAACTTGATAATAAGAACTTTCATACAACTCCATTTTAAGATATCAGTAATGATCTTCAATAAATAATTTCATCACAATTAATTTTTTCATCCAAGATATCAAATAAAATATCAAACAAAAGTGGCTAAAATATCTTCAGTTCAATATACAGTACAGTTTTCTCAATTTCCTAGCTTTATAACGTTTAGAGAGTACAATTTAGTCAACAAATTACCAAAAAAATAAATTTAACTTCATCAACTTTAAGTGTTTGCAACGATTTATTTACATGGAAATGTCTTTCTTATCATTCAAATTCGATTTCTTATAATTCAAAACAATACTTGCCAAAGATACTATATGTTTTGACCCCGTGGTGTCAAATAGGTAATTTTGTATATATTTTCAAGTATGTATATATATATATATATATATATATATAAGTATATTTCCAATGAGACTAAATGCATTATCAGCTCTTATCGCTGTCCAAGGTAAATGATATAATTTCACATAAAAAATATGCAGGAGAGAGCTGATACCAAATATAGGTTGTTCATCTCGTCGAAGATATTACTGATTAAACTGTAGGTTGTACCATGTAGAGTAGAGCGTTAAACAATCCTTTGATATGACAATGACAGCTGTGAGCATCTAACTCGATGACCAGTTTAACTAAAGTAAATCCATATCTAGCAGTAACCTAGCATCTAAAATCAATCTTGTTCACAACTATCCGAAGTTAAAGACGCAAATGCGTAATTCATGCCAAAACTTCTAAGCACAGCTTCAGTTTTTCTAATTACTACACACTTGCTATGAAATATATTAATTACAGGTAGGGTCTTGCAAAATCTACAAATGATCTTCAACGGTAAGTCTTGCTTGATGTGAAGAGATCCAAAACCTCTGAAAAAACGATTCCTTTTCTTATAACAACACGTTTGTTAGAAGATCGGTTGAACGATTCCTCATGCTCCATATATTTGAAGACATTCCAACTCTTAATATTTTTTAAACACTCGACGCTGAAGTTAGTCTATCATGTGCCGATGAAAGATCATTTGTATGGAAGGTGATAAAGCAGACTGAAAAATCTGGCGTTCTTTTTTTAGACGCCAGAATTGCCAGAATTAATCTGGACAAAATTCAAATACACAAAGACGATCAAATGGAATTTTCGCGCACGATGGAAGGCGGGGAGGAGGAAGTTAGGGTAGCAATGCTTGATAACCAGACAACCCTTGAGTGCATTTGCTGGTGACCTGCGGATCTCGAACCTTCAGTGTGCTTCTAGATGCCCAAATTGGTCGTTCGAAGTCAACAGAAGAGCAAGTTTCGCGCTAAATGTTTGCCCAAATTTATGGTAGTTCGAAGTCAGAAGGAGAGAGCAAGTTGCACACGAAAGAAAAGAAGTACGAAAATACAGCTCGCTTTGGAAGTGTATTATTCTTACTTCTTCTCTTTCGGACATTATCGACAAGTGACCTGCTCGTTGACTAACCGCGTGACCAGAATGTCCAGAAGTTACTCGACAAACACACTCTTCAACGAGGCATGGTATTGTTTGAATGGGCACACTCATGGAATGGGTTCATGCACTTGCTATGTGCAATGCGGTTCCAAAATACAACGTCATTTCAAAGCGACTTCTCCAAATGGGACTAGTATGAACCCCTCAGCACACTAACGAGCCTGCGGGTATTATGCATGCAAAACAATTCGAAACGCTGAAAAGGATTATCCCCAAGTCCCCGGTCGAAAAATAGTGAAATTAGAGTGGTACCGCCAAAAATAAGTAGAAAAATTTCCCAGAATTACCTTACTTCTGAAACCTGGCATTTGCCAGATTTTACACGGTCTGTAATAAAGTGAAAATAGCAAATAGAAAATAAACTCCTTGTTGAGTAGATAGATACCTGTCCAGAAACATCCTTCTCATTTATTTCTGCTTGAGTGACTAGATTGCAAAGGTTTTCATGTCCTTCTTGGACAGGGATTGCTGTTTCATTGGTCTAGAGCTCATCCTTCATCCACGAGGGTCCTCCAGCAAAGTGCTGCCAGCCGGGAGATACGAACGTAGAACCTCTGCTTCTCTTCCCAGCCGCCAAGTACGGCTGATTTAGAGCACTCGCAAACCCAGGTACTGACCTGATTTGCTGCGTCGTCTGGCCAATTACTGTCGAAGGAAGGTTGATTAAATTACAAACATGTGCGGAGATAGTTCACTCAGTGAACTTCACTGGCAGGAGTCTCAGTTAGCCCGCAACGTTGAGCTCAGTATGCTTGACGGAGTTAGGTTTCGAGTCGACATAATCGTGAGAAGAAGTAGTTGTTACCGCAATTTCTGTTCACAACCTAGAGATTGTATTGTACCGAGTTCCCAGCTCTCAATCTCCGAGGAGAAGGCTTCCGAGGTAGATCTTCCATTGACGCGGAATCATCCATAAGAAAAAAAGTTGACGACACGGGTAGCATGTGGAAGCCCGGGTCGCTACTTGACACTCTGTAAAGGCAGCTGTACGATATGTGCGGGTACGAAAGTCAACACTTCTCGAAACCCCTGGATCTGGGAGACTCCAGTGAACATTGATGATATGAAGAAAACTGATCGGAGGCATGCAGATTTGATTCCAACCTCGAATCTGGTTTGAATTTACAAATGCATCAGCTGAGAGGAACTTGCTACAACAGCCTCGATGAAGTGCAGTAAGTTCAGGTGATAAGATCATGCGCACCCAGCAGACACTGCACTTAGCAGTAAAACTAATCATATCCGGTAGGATCAATGAGTGGTAAGAGATCCAGACATGCAGATGCGAGGTTGTCACTCCATACACAGTCTCGAGAACTCGTGCACTTCAAAGCTGCCCAAACTTCACTTAACGATTTTATGCATGTACCATAAATTAATGTACAGAATTAATGGTCGTGACCATGAATGAATTTGTATTGTCAACGAGGCCTTAAGACTGGGAGAATATTACAGCAAGAACCAGACGGGGGGTGAGATGGGAGAGAATGTCCTGATACAACGTATAATCTGTCGAACCCCTTGCACCATTTGGCCTCGATTTACTGAAGCAGCTGGAAAAGCTCAAAAGATTGGGCGTCCTGAGTAACGATCACGTTTGAAGGAGTGCGAAAGACGTGAGGTAAGTCCCATTACAGTGCACTACTGTCAGACAGGGTAACGATAAACAAGGCCGGTTAGCCGTATTTTGCGTGAGCCTGTTGCAGCTTGAAGTGAGCAGTTTATGAACATAATTCACCAGGCAGGCTTGTGATCACAGCCAATAGGCATGGCCATGCGATTAGGAACATAGACGGAAATGCTCTTTCACTCTGCACTAGCAGAGCAGAGCAGAGTGAGAGAATGGGCAGATCTTGTCGTGAGACATGATCTTGATGCAACATCGAGGAAGTGAACAGCGAGAATCTTTCCTCCAATCATGATCGTTGCGTAAAATATCAATATACAGCATAGAAACCACATGCAGGATATAAGACATAAGGATGTCGGTCACAAACCAAGTTAAAAAAATCACGTCTTTCATGAGTTCGATCTCCATGAACTTTCAGACACAGGTCATATGCTCCAGCTTGTGTTCCTGTCCATGATAACGGACTTGTTTTTCAACTCTTAATCTGGCTCCAAGTCACGTGGAGTGGAGTTTCGGAGTCTAAACACGCAGAGCAACAAATGGCCTCCAAATCCCCTGAAAGATTCATTTCTTGGTGTCTGTCCTGTCTCCATCCAACTAAATCTCGCGAAAATCGTCTTGGGGCTCGAGAAAAGAATCCCTCGAAAGCCAGCACTTGGAAATTCATTGAGATCCATCTGTGGCTGGGATCGGTGAAGGTGGAGGGCTTACACCCGGATCGTGGTATTGCTTTCACGTACAGAACAAAGCTCGATGGATTTATTTAATAAGGTGATTCCAGCACTGCTCCATCTCTGGGAAAAGGATTCTGAGTCTGGATGGGATTCACCTCGCGTGTGTGTTCCCACACGCACACACCAAAATTTTGGACTTAAAAGAGAATGTCCTGTATGACCGTGCTAACCTAGAGCAGAGCACAGAGACAACGATGGTATCTGACGACTACAGTGGCGAGGAGGTGCAGTCTGAAGTCGGGCGTTTCGCTCAGATTCCGTTGGGTCAATGGTGTGCCCTGCCAAGACCATGTGGACCACCTTGCTCGTCCACATGGGCATCCTTGACAAGATGATGCTGCGTTGTACTATGGCACTCGACCTGACAGTGAGCAAGACAATGCCAATGCTTCACTATTGGGCCCGATGATTCCCATCCAATTTCCGATTCTACTCAAACGTTTCCGGTCTCTCCCGTGTCGAACACAGATAACTGCATAGATCTCCATGCGTATCACGAGCAATAATTTCAATGGCGCGGCCTGGGCACAGAACATCGTTGCTAACCAACTAACTGCAGCGTTCTAAACAGCATCAGATCGCAGGAGGACGACTAACTGTACACACCGGTGTAAGAGGTGGCAAGTACAGAGAGAGAGAGTGTTGACATCCTCCTCCAGAAAGGACAAGAATGTCGTTGATCGATGGTTCAATCACATCCAGTCCATCGTACACTGGATATACATGGAAACCTTGTACACAGCGAGTAGTACGACGATGAGCTCATAAGTAAGGTCGTGGTTTACACAGAGCCCTACTTAAGTGCCGAATCGTCATAGCCAAACCTTATCGTGTACAGGTTTGCCTGTACATGATAAAGCACGAATGACTCCACGGTACAAACTCGCGAACGAGGCATAAACAGGATATAAGATCACGATTTGTACCAACATTTGCTGCCGATAGAATTATCAGGGCATCTGGGCCTGGTCGTGGATGCATCCATCCATCCATCCATCAGCAAGTACGGAGACAAGGCAGCATAATTTAGTTACTCGCTGCGGACCAAGCTACAGCTACAGGCGTGATGCGATGGGCAGTGAGTGCATGCTTGCGAAAGCTATCAAAGCCCACCGCAGAAACCGATCAGATCTGACCTGGCCGGGCCGAGCCGGGCCGGCGCTAGTAGCGGGGTACGACAAATGCCTGAGCTCGCTCGGAGGCGAAAGAATTAACAATCGAGTGTGATGATATAGCGATGTGATTCGATCGGGGAAGGGCGAGCAGCAGACCAGCCGCATTGACTAATCGGCACAACTCTGGATCCACATGCCGGGGGCGAATTCGTCCGAGGTGTTGAAAAATACCTTCTCCTCTTGCTCGTCGGGGCGGGGCCCCACTTGGCTGCCTTCCCAAGCCAGGCCCCCTGTCTGGGTGCACAGCGAAGGGCCCTGGCGGGCGGCGAAGGGCAATCGAGCAAGGCGAGGGTGGAGTTGGCGAAAAAGTCTTCGACCGCCATAAGATTTATGCGCCAGTCGGACACGGGCTCGTGTGCGTTTCGTTGCGATTCGATGCTGATGATGTGCATGGAGATGGGCCGATACGGTGCGGTGCGGTGCGGTGGCCCCTTGACGAGGGAGGGAGGACCCGACACTCTGGCCACGAAGCTTCGACCCGATCGCGGGCATCGCTCCCTCCCTCCCTCAGCAGCAGCAGCAGTTGGGGGAGGGCTCCTCCATCACGGGTCTTGATCACGGTGGTGGGCTATGGGGTGGCAGCTCACGGCAGGGCAGGGCAAGGGCAAGGGCAGAGGAGAGTGGAGTGTGACTCACCCAACGCCATCATCATGGATCTAGTCGACAAACAAATGTGGAACACGGAACATTGTCCGATCCAGGACGTGGGGCCGCGCAGCGCCACCCTCGGACTTCTTTTCGACATCGACTCGATCCGAGCTCTGAAAGAGAAGGGAGGGAGGGAGGGAGGGAGGGAGCAATTAATCACGTGCCTTATTGATGGCGGATCCAGACGACTGGATGCTCTGGGTCGTGGGGTATGAGATACAGTGAGGAATCTTCGATCGAGCCGATGCGGCCGGCCGGCTGGCCTAGATCAGGACGAATCGAGAAAGCTTGCGCGTTTCTGTCTCGACCCACAGAGACACCCATTCTCGTTCGTTGCTTCCATGCTTACATGCGCGACCCACTCGCAGCTGTTTGGTTCACCCACTCGGTGGGGCAGACTCCATTTTTTACTCTAAAATCGACATTTGTCGAAGACAAGTTGGGGAAGGGATGGCATGGCATGGGACGGGAAGACGTCTTCTCCGAACCGTACTCCGCCCTTTCCCCATATGATTTGGGACCTCCCACTGAACCCAATCCAGCAGTCAACCAGACAGCGCATCGAACGCACGACTTTCAGATCCAGTGGCAGAAATAAGATCATACTGAAAAATGCGAAGCTCTCTACCGAAAGAATCACGGAGACCACTCGAGGTCGAGAGAATCATGCGAGTGAGAGAGTGTAAGAGATAGTGATATTCGAGCCTTCCATCTCTAGGACCAGCATAATCGTCGCCGAGCAAGAGACAAATGTGAACAAAAGTGAACATGTTCGCAACAACAGGAACCGAGCAGACACAATCCAGAGGGAAACACGAAAATGCGGCAGATTAGATGTGAGGTTCCTCGATGACATTCTGGTACAAACTGCCAACCCTGGTGGCTCAAGTCGAGTCATTTTCCAATTTACAATTGTGCAAGCCGAGCCAGAAAGCTCGGCTAGAAAAACAATACATAACTCTGGAACAGAACCAGAAGTAGGCAGTGGGCTTATGGTACACAGATTTACGGGGCGATCTCACGAACTATCAATCAGTCTAGGGACGATTGAGCAAAATAGCTAATCTAATCTACGTAAGGAAACATCGCATGTTACATAAAGACATTGTCGAGATCCTACGCGGGGACACGAACGATGCAGGGACTGGTCGTCGGTTGGATGGTTGGCTCGTTGTTGATGGGCGTTCTTCTTCATTGTCTCATCGGGCACAGCCTAGAATCACACCCTTCACTTCACAAAGGATAGACGATGGTGATTCTAAGATGTCACCTTGCTAGGAAGCAAATCCTGGCATCTCGTCCTACTAGGGGGGGATGCGCCGCCGCCTCACAGAGGCGCCACATCCTACACAAGGACGATATGTTGTCTAAATCCGACCTCTTCTTCACAGAGGCTCGAAGAACCCACTACCGATGCTCTTCCAGATCATAACACACACACACACTGTGTATCTATCTATCGATCGGCTCAAAGAAAGACACAAAGCGCACGACGGCGGGCGGGCTGGAGGAGGAAGAGGAGGAGGAGGAGGAGGAGGAGGAGGCGCGAGACGAGACGAGGCGAAGGCTCGAATCGAAGTCTAGTCGCCGGGCTGGAAGCAGGATTGCACGTCCACGAGCTCCGGCTGCCAGAAGGCGATGTCGCTGAACTCGAAATTCCAGTTGCAGCCCTGCGAGGCGTTGAGCACGATCTCCTCCATGTTCACCACGTCGAGCTGGTCCATCTCGAGCTGGTCCAGGCCCGGGTGCATCTTGCCCGGATGCAGCTTCAGTTTCTCGGGCGAGGTTGTCACCTGCTGCCAGTTTTGCACTTGTGACACGTCGAGCGAGCCCAGGCTCGAGTCCTGGACCTGCTGCAGAAGGTTGGCGTCGGCCAGGTCCTGGCTCAGCTCGGGCCCCAGATCGTCCGCGAAGTCCAGCAGCGAGTGCTGATCCCCGAGCCGCGAGCTCTCCACGCCCTCCTCTTCCGATTGCGGGAACAGATCCTCGCTGGCCGACGAATTGTCGGGCGACGCCGGCCAGTCCAGCCCCGCCGGCTCGTAGTCCAGAGTCTCGCAGGGCATGTCGCCCACTCGCGAGATCTGATCCGCCAGAGACCCATTCTCCCCGTCCGCCGAGTGGTTCACGCCCCCGGCCGCCCCGCCGTGCTGCGGCGCCTGCTTGCAAGTGTGCGTGTCCTTGTACGTCACGTGGAACACCGACGGATCGCTGTTCGTCTGCTGCACGATCTTCGTGGCGTTGCATTTCATCTCCTTGAAGTGCCTGCACTTGAAGTATCCCCTGCGCACGCGAGATTTGGCCCCCGATCAGTCCCAACGCAACCCAATCCAATCCAATCCACCTCAACCTCACTTCAGCTCACAATCTCAACAACTGCAGATGATGCGATAAGTCAGATTTGTACCTCTTGTAGGATGCGGTCTTGATCGGCTTGTTGCCGTACTTGCGCCACAAGTAGCCATCGTCGGGGATTTTGCCCTGTTCCCCAGGCTTGAGCCTCTGGATAGCGACTGGTGCCTCGGACTGCTTGTTTCTCTGTCGGTTCCTGGACACACAGACAAAGAGCAGCCGACGTGAGCTTCCGGCACGACAGAAGATGGGAAAGAATGAAATAATGGACGGATTTGGAGGAAATTCATGATCGATAGAAGAGTGAGCAGGCTAAGTACCTGTCTCTGCGGGAGCGAGTGGGCCTCTTCTTGGGAGACTTAATTCCCAGAGCGTTCACAACAGGCTTGGAGGAGACTCCATTGCCAAAGCTGTTGGAGCCGACGGCAATAGAAGCAGATGCCGCCGTTTCCACCGACAGCTTGCCAATGATGGCAGTTGGCCTACAGAGCACGAAGAAATGCAAATTCGTCAGTCGGGATGAGATGGCAGAGTCGGTGGCTAGACATGGAGCTAGCAGCTTCAATCGAGGGACGAATTCGGGGACATAGTTTGGGAGCTGGGATGATTCGGCACTCACATGTACAGTCTGTGGCCCGGAGCCTTGGAGTCGGTCCCGACCTTGTAGAACTTGTTGGGGCCTGGGCTGGTGGGGGGCGTGTCTTCGGCGCCTGTGACGCCCGACACTCCGTTGCCACCAGGGCCCGAATCCGCCAGGAATCCTGCTCCTGATGGTCGACAGACTCGTAGGGGAGTCAATGGCCTGCTTCTCTTGAGGCCCGAGGAGCTCTCCACCTGCATTTACCAGACGTGTGTCTCCGTTAGGCCCCAATACAGAACACCCATCTTCGCACACAACACTCGGGCTGCAAATCTCCGCCGACAGAGACGAAAGGAATCGTCGAGAAAATTACAGAGAATATAAAAATGTCCATTGTGCACTGCGGGAGTAGGCACTTCAGCTGCAGCTGCTAGCCACAGTCACACTTGCACAAACTCGCATGTGTGACCGGACGAGAGCAGCAAACGTGACAAGCGCAGCATGTACGTGAAAGGGACAGCAGGCGGGAGAGGGGCCATTTGGTACCTGGCCAGTGCTGGCCGCTGTGGGGAGAATGTGCTCCAATTTGTTGAGCACGAACTTGAGCAGGAAGCTCATTTGATCCTGCTTCTCAGTGAGAACTCGTTTGGCTTCCGAGTTGCAACATTTGGCTTCTCCGTCGACACGGGAGCAGGCCTGCAGAATATCTGAGGAGCAGATGCTTTCCTGTTTGGCCGATAACTGAACAAGGCAGTCTTTGATGTCTTCCACATCTCTGCGGAGGACTGTGATCGTCGGGCTCTCATTTGTGGTTTCCATCTTTCCCAGATTTCCCTGAGCCAGCCTGGCGCTTAGAAATTTGGAGCTCACTTCGCTTCCGAGGCACGAGATTGTCTGCTAGTCCTGGAACCTGTACTGCTGCCTCGCATCCCCTCGCTTCCCTTCCCTTCCCTTGCCGTCCCTGCCGCTATGGTTGCTTGCTGGCTGGCTGAAACCTGTTCAGGCTTCCTTCCTTCCTTCCTTCGGCTTGCTGCCTGCTTGACGGAGGGCAGCTTATGGGCTCAATATGTTTCTATCTCCACATATACACCTGTGACGAGAACTGCAAATCTCTGACGGGCAGAGACGCTGATTATTCGATCGTCGAATTGTCTCAGCGATTTGATCAAAACACCTTGAGGTTCTCCTTACTAGCACATGAGCTAACCATAATCAGACAGAGCCGTGCATTTCCTGTCCGGGGTCCACAAAAGTGTCGTAGATTGTTGGGGCGAGCGAGCGAGCGAGCGAGCCGAGAGCAGCAACAAATCAAAAATATTGCAGCTGGAGGCAGGATAGAGGGATAGAGAAGGATAGAGATGGATAGAGAGAGAACGAAGATGTGTCTGTTAACACACAAGCCAAGACCTGCCAGAAGCAGCTCTCTCGCTCGCTTCACACCGAGTTGCCGGCGACGATGAATAACAAGCTACCTCCGAAGGTGTCCATGACTTCCTCCCACGCCAGGGGACTGACTCTCCGTCGAGATATCGTGAGAACAGATTGGGAAGCCAGAGTCTCAGAAACAGAAACAGAAACACGAGAGAAGCGGAGCAGAGAGATCGAACCGAGCCCTCGTTCCTTCCTTCCTTCCTTCTTGTTCGTTCGTTCCTTCGTGCCTGCCTGATGGAGCTCCGTCTAGTAAAACTGGAGCCGAGGAAAAAATGAACCTCAGCAGCTGGCGCTTCCTGGTTTCATCCTTTCGGTTTGGCCGGGAAGTGCTGCCGTGCTCTCGTGGGAACCAGGCCGCAGCTTCTCGCCGGCAGCTGGTGGTGTGGTCTATACCCGGTGATGTCAGACTACGAGGGCCCCTGCCTTTTTTTTTTCCCTGCTCCTCGGTTTCTGTGCCCCTCTCCCCCGGGGCCACTCCCCACCCCCACTCACTCTCTCGGCCCCGGACATGGGACAGGGCCCCCCTCCCCCTCCCCCTCCCCATCTCTCTCCCTGCTCCTGTACCCTTTTCTACATTCGATTCCAGTCCCTTTCCCTTCATCCGTCCCTCCTCCTGCGTTCGTTTCCAGTCCCAGTCCCAGTCCCAGTCCTTCTTCATTCCCTTCCCTTCCCTTCCCTTTCCTTTCCTTTCCTTCCCGTCCCTTAATTGCGTTCGTTGTTGATTCATGCCCGTCCCCTGTCCCACGCCGTCCTCGTCCTCGTCCTGTCCCTCGCTTGCCTTTGTCGACAGAACCGTGTGATGAACATGCTCAGAAGCTCTCCTCGTCTGTTAACTTTTCCGCTGCTTTTCCGCGCACTCTCACTCTCTCTCTACCCTCGGAGCTTCGACAGGTCACCGACTGCTGCTGCTACCAGTGTACAGTCAACTTGTTTGGACATGATGGAAAAAGATAGAAAACTAAAGGGCACCGAGCAGTAAGGCCCAAAGGATGGGAAGCGCCCCTCGAATTGTCAGGGAGGGATGAAATGAAACGAGAGGGGTAGAACGGATTTAATATTTCTACCGAACGTCCAATTTACGTGGCCACAAACCCAAACCCAAACCCATCTGACACCACCCATTGATTCGCCCACTCTCCATCCTTCGAGCTACGATGGCGATGAACCAACAACATGTTCCTACGTGGTTACTACTACGTGGCATCGAGCGCCTCTCGTATCAGAGACCCAAGTTTTGGTCTCCACTATTGAGAGACTATGGTGGCCCATGTCAGAATTACAGATTAAGTACGCTCGCCTAGTATTGAGCACCCTCCAACTGTGTTATTTCTTGTCCCTGGTCTGTGTCAACAGCATCTCAGATTGTGGGGCAAAGGTGAATAATAGTGATGGGCGGTGGTGGATAGGGGCGAGATGGAATTGCCATCTCTATCTCTCTCTCTCTCGTTCGGGTGAGGGAGCGGGCCTTGCATTTGGTTGGATCCCTTCTGGCGTTCCTGCCACTTTTCTTCTTGGCTTTTCGTCGCCACTTATCGATCAAGCCAAATTGTGGTTGGTGTGGTCGGAGACAGAGCTTGAGAACTGACTACTCGGCATGAGGGACAGACTGCATTACATTCCGATCTGCTTTGCAATAGCGGGACAGAAACCTTCATAATCTCGAGTTAGAAAAAGGAGAAAGTCAGAGAAGGATCACTAATTTTAAGCCTGTACAGAAACCGAGTGGACCATAAACTTGGACTGAACCGAATTAGTTAAAATTAGGTGCAGTGGGACATACTTCTCATTGTGATGCTATCATATGGGGCTAGCCCCGTCATGAAGTACAGATATATAATAGTATTGAGAGAAAACGCTCACTTTACTCCTCTGCACGAAGCTGCTGCATGAAGAAAAAGGTTTTCTATGTTCTTCGAGCGTGTTGTGGTTTTTCTACAAAAGTTGTGGAAATTTTTAATTTTTTGAAGCACCAATAAAATCATTTATTGGTGGAACGCTGTTGCTGAATTGCTGTTGAGTTATGGTTCACAACGGTTCGTCTCTCAATCTGGACAAAACTATCGGGACGACGGCGGGAGTGAGAAAAAATATCAACAACAATCAAGCACGTGTGCCACATATATTCCAACATATTCAACATTATTTTGTGTCTAGTAGACCCACTTACACATTCACGTTCAAAGAGCAACTTTTCTACTCGGCTTCAGGAACATGTGTATCCATCCCTCATTCATTTCGTTTACATCATGAGATCCATGACTGATCAAAGATTGGCCACCACCTTACGCTTCACAACCTTTCACAAGCTAAATGGATGTGCTTCCATACGCCAATATAGTTCTATATTTGAGGAATGTTGTTTTCAATCTTCCATATTCCAAGAATCATCTCAGGGTTGTTTTGTTGCGCTATGCAACTGCGTTTATCACATTCTGGCATTCCGGTCCATGTTTTAACCTTTCGGACCGGTAGATATAGAATATCCACGCATCTCACTTCTTTATGACAAAGTACGAAGACCATACCATTTAATTTTACTTCGTTTCAATGAATTTCAAATGAGCAAGTGTGTATCAATTTCCATTTATTCAATTTACTCAGTCATTTCAAGTATCAATGACGTCGCATTTCCAAAAAACAAAAAAAATCTCACTAAACGCATATACTATTCAAAGCATGAACAAGGATAGTTCCTTTACTAAGTCGTTTGGAATTCATGTGAATGTCTAATGAAACTAACACACAGACGCAAGTTGAGAAAAGTAGAGATTTTTTGCCTTTTATTTATGCGAATTTTTTTGCGCTTGAATTTTAACGTTATACAATTCCTACAGCATTTTTGGGCTCATACGATCGTTTCTAGAATAATTTTAGTAAGAACCAAATCATCTTAATTACTGGAATAAACAATTTTTATGACTCCTTGTTCTGGGACAGCGTATTCAGCTAACGCTAGCAACAAAGGTAGGAAATAGATGAAGACGTTGATGGAGCAAAAGTCTTTTATTTATTCTTCTTGAGAGTGCTCTAAAGACCACTTGATTTAAAGTAGAATTTGAGTAGTCTTCTCATCTTCACAACTCATTTTATTTGATTAATGAAACGGACACCTGCTAGTTCGAACACACGTGACAAAAATGGGCGTGGTGGAAAGCATATACTCTTTTATTTTGAGTTCAGTCGATGGTAATGATAGAGTGAGATCAAGATTATGAAAAGCAGAGAAGATAGTCAAAGTCGTTGTAAGAAGGACAAGAGTTGAGAGTAGTCAAAAGCAGAGTGAATGGATCTCAAGTAGAAAAGCTGGACATTAGCGTCTTCGTCGGTCGATGCATTGCACATTCCTTCCAGCGAAAGAAACAGCCATTCTGACAATCGCACCGAGTACAAATCTGGATACTGTCGGATCAAAATTTTCTGTAAGTAAAACGAACTGGAAAATGTGTTTAAGAATTAATACCGACCTTTAATCAGAGGGTGATAAGATCAAGATGATACAGAGTGGTGTGACTTAAATGTTTGAAACTGATTTTGTACTGCTCCTTGCCCCAAATGATAACGAAAAATGTTGCAGACTAGATTCTACGTTCAAGTGTATCGAAGAAGACGAATTTTAGGGAATATGCACGGAAAGTCCTTTCCGTGCATATTCCCTAAAATTCGTCTTCTTTGTGGACGTGATGATCACTGTAAGATAATTCACTTAGAGAAGAAAAGAAGATCCAGTCTCAAATACGGAGATAAGATGTCAGAAGTTAATCCATGTTGATATGTTGTTCACCACAAGAGGAGATTTAGAAGTTCTATATCTGGCTGGGGTGCGGTTAGAAGAGTATAGTGCATTTCAGACTTCAGCACTAAGAATCACCACATAGATGCTACTCCACTAACATTATATTCAATTTGTAGCAAAAATGAAGTTGGCAGGTTGATCAAAGCTCCAGGTTTTTCTTTGGCGGATTTACAGAAATGTACTTGACCCAGAGAAATCATTGGCCAAAGAGTATAACGAGAAAGAAGAATACTCACCTAAAGTGGCTCAAATGTGTCCTTTTCACACTACTGCAATCGACGATTAAGAAATTTCTGGCAAATTTACGGGTTTTATCTGTTCGGGCAACATCGTCCAATGTGTTTCTACAAAGATTTTATTTTTTAAAGTACAATGCCTCCAATTTTACTGTTTGAGGAGGACTTAATTTTTTCGAGGAGAAAAATATCGCATAGTGGTGATTGAAAGCGCTATCTCTGAGAAATCAGTATTACTTAAAAATTCCTTACCGTGAAAGCTATATCCAGTTGAATCGAATTCTGACTCATGTCTTCTTCAGAGTGACAACTTGATTGTAATGTGGCATTCTCTCATTCCTTCTAGAAAGCTAGTTCTTCCTTTTCTACCAAGTGAGCTATAAGAAATGAATTGACTATTAAATCCCATGGGAGTCAACGAAACTTTAAGCATAGACCGGAAAATTTCACGTGTACCAGGGGTGGCTCCCGGCATAACGAGGTTGAGTGCAAAACAAGGAATATCATAAATTGGTAGAGCATTACTTATACCCTGGTTATGCATGTTGTACAATATGTAAATTTCGGAAAATGAAATTCTTTCAGTTAGCTTACTCTCCATTAGGAGGTTCGAATAGAAGTGGTCGAACTCCGAGGTTCTACTGGATTCTCGAACATTGAAACCTACTGGGTGAAAGGGTGGCGAAGTGTTGGAACAATACATGGAGATTGTCTGGATATTTACCTCAGGATTCACGAGTGAGAGTGAGAGTGGCAGGAAGCTTGTACGAAATTCTCATTTGAAGATACTCCTGCTGGTTAACGCGCAGTCACTCTTTTGAGAAACCGTCTGGAAATTTCATGGATATCTAATATAGCCCACCATTCGTAGCTCTAATGGAATCAGGATAGTACGAGTGCTATCACTCATCACATGTTGCTTTTTCTGAAAAGGCAAAAAGAAATCCTCTCGGTAACTGAGTAATTTGCATGCATCTGGTTTGAGAAAGAATGAGCTTATAAATATAGAAAAAAGGTCCTCTACACTGTCGTGCCATTCAATGTAATTGTTGGGTAGCCTTTTTGGGCTTTCCTTTCCAGATGATTCTATAGAATTACCACTCTACAACCTCAAAACGTTGGCATACTTCTCAAGACCATTCTCATGCGCTGGGACTATCAAAAGTCAATGAAATGAAATTCATGCCCAATGTGTCAGAACATAAAGTTTGAAGTATGCATGTTTAGTT